ACCATCTTGGATGAGACCAAGTGGGGAAAGGATCAGAGCAGCCACGGACGCCTGACAGAACCGCAGAGATACAGGTGTGGACATTCTTTTCTTTTGGTATCTGTTCATTGGTCTCTTGTTGTCTGCGCACTTCCGTTCTGGTGACTATAGGGGTGCCTGAGTTAGTGGATACCCCAACCCCACCTTCAGAGGGTTCTACTACACATGCGCACAGATCTCCTTGAAATTTAAACAGACAGTGTCCACTTAAAACCAAACGATCACAGTCAGCCCTGAACTGTTTACAACTAGAAAAAAGTCTGAACGGGAATTGTGGAGTGGGACAGGCAGACAAAAAATGAAATAGGCCAAAAATTAAATCCTAAATTACATCAAAACAACCAACATCTTAAAAATTCTCAAGAAGAAGAGTGAAAAGGGAAGCCCAATTTCTCATCACAACTACATGGAGGCAATCAGAGAGCATAAAAAATACCAAAATATAAACCCATCTAAGTATTAAACCACAGATAACCCCTGAATATTCCCAAAAATATCTGCACATGTCGAGAAACGAGATAAAGTGACTGAGGCAAATGAGCTGGATATAGAACTACACTCCATACTGGAAGATGGGCAGGCTTTGAAAATGCCTGAGAAGGAATTCAGAAAAAGGATTATAAAATGTATCAAAACACTATATAATAGAGTTGAGAAAAATAAGGAAGTCAGGAAAGCGCTACAGGAATAATCAAATAAGATAAATACAGCATTGGAAAAAATTAAAATCCTACAGAAAGAGGTCCAAATGATTAATAATAGAATATCAGAAATGGACAATACAACACTGAAAGGGCAAAGGAATAGAACTGAAGAGACAGAAGCCAGAACTAGTGAGCTAGAAGATAAATCTCTCAACACTACTAAGCTAGAGGAGCAAACACAAAAAAGGATAAAAAAAATCTGAAGAAGGCCTAAGATTCATATTGGACAACATGAAAAGGAATAACTTAAGAATTACAGGCATTCGGAATAGGAAGAATCACATAAGTCCACAGGAGATAGCTGAAGAGCTTCTGGAGGAAAATTTTCCTAACATCATGAAAAGTGAAAAGATAAGCATTCAAGAAGCTCAACGAACCCCAAGATGGATAGACCCTAAAAGACAATCTCCAAAACATATAATAATCAAGATCTCCAAAATCAAAAATAAAGACCGCATCTTGAAAGCAGCTAGGGAAAAGAGAAATATAACATACAAAGGCAAGCAGATCAGATTAAGCTCAGATTTCTCAACAGAAATCATGCAGGCAAGAATGCAATGGGGAGGCATATATAAAACACTGAAAGAAAAAAACTGCCACCCAAGAATCCTCTACCCAGCAAAGCTGTCAATCAAATACGATGATGTAATCAAAACATTCCAGGATAAGCAGAAGCTAAGGGATTTTGCCAAAAACAACCCTGCTATGAAAAACATCCTAAAGGAAGTTCTGTGGACTGAGAATCAACAAGAACACATAACAACTACAGAATGACGTACATGGCTGCATCAACCTAGACTCAGTCGACAAATGAAAGAGTCAAGAACAGAATAAAATTGTAAGAACAGAGGATCTGGAAGGTCAGTCTATGATCAAAACAATTACAATGTAAAAGAAGGTAAACACAGAAGAACAGAGATTCAGGTGGTGGGAAGGTCAGGTAGATTACTCGATAAAATAAACTGTCTTAAATGGAGGGAAGAACTAATGAAATATAAGGTAACCACAATGGGGTTGGGGTAGGGGTTTATTTTGGGTGTTGGGGAGGGCAATACAAGAAGAGGGGAGGAGGCAGAAGAACAAGATAAGATACGGGAACACTGAGACAGGTTTGTATGGCCTAGTGGGACAGAGGTAAATAGTGACGCATATTCAACCTTGGAACAACAGGGCTCTGGGATACAGGGATAGCTTGAAGAGGGTAAATAATACTAAAATCCTTGACTGCCTTACGAATATTAGTTTCCCTTGCCTACTATTGTAAAATAGACACTTGAGTGGGATAGAAAGGAATGTTGGGAAACATGATTAGAGAAAATCTGTAAGCCCACCTTCAGCCTGTAACTGATTAGAATAGCTAAAAGAGGCTCTACACCTTGCCCAGTGAAATAGGACTCGTGCGAAGCCTTTACAGAGTATAGGACCTTAGGTGGAATCCTGAGTCCCATATAGAACCTTGTGAGGTGAGACATTCCCACTAGAAAGGACAAGCACACTGGAACAGGTACAGTGACAGAAGATACATCTTCATGATGAACCTGACCTATACTCAGAGCGGTGGTAACTCTAAATACCAACATAGAGGGAAAGAGTCTTCACATCAAGTATCAATGCTATTCCCTCAGTACACAGGGTTGATAGGGATGGGCAACTTAGACACCTAAAGTGAGGGGGCAATAAACACACGAAGTGACTGGCTTACAAGGTTTCAAGAGTGAGTTTAGTTTAAGAGTATGTGGGGAAAGAAAGAGTTCTCACTGAATAGCTGTCATCTTGTCTAGATGGGTCTGGTGAAAAGAGACAGGGATAAGATTCATAAGATTCAATAGTGAATAACTGTTATCATGACTAATTGCGACTGTCAACAATTGTAAAGGTAGAAGTTTTGTAAAAAAAAAAGGGAGTGGTAAATCTTACAGTTCAGAAACAGAGTACCCTAGAACCATCAAGAGAGGAATGCACAAGCAGAATGCGGGACCTTATCCAGAGAAGCAGCAGTGCCAGAGATGGAGGCAGAGATGGGGGCATGGAGAAGGGGAGTGGCTGAAGACTCTAGATTCATGGACTAAGAAGAGAGGGACTAACAGCTGGTGGCCAGAAGAAGACTTGCAAAATGTGCCCTTTGGAGATGTAAATTATTATATATGCCTGAGTGGTTTTTTTGTTTGTTTGTTAAAAAGCTAAAGTGGGTAGAGAGAAATACTCTTAACTGATGGTACATGGAGGGGATTATAATCATTGTAATGAAACAAGGTATATGATTTGTTGAATGTAAAACTGATGATATGCCCTGTAAACTTTCACTCAATCTACATTACCAACCTTAAAAAAACACCACAAAACTATAGGGGAAGCTAAAGGTAAACATCCCTGAGCCTCCATTTAGCTTATTTTCTCCTGGAGGACTTCATCTGAAAGAGGTACTATCACACTCTTTTACACAGTAGATTCATGCTTCGTACTTGGTTTCTAGATTATCTACCTTTCTCATGTAACTGTGTGTGTGTGTGGTGTGTTTTGTTGAGTCAGTTCTGATTCAGAGCAACTCTGTATAGAATTTCCAAGGCTGAACATCTTTACAGAAGCAGGTTTTATCTTTCTCCTTTGGAGCAGCTGATGGATTCATACTGCTGAGCTTGTGGTTAGCAGTCCAATGCATCTGCTCCCATAAAAATTGCAGCCAAGAAAACTGTTGGGTAGTTCTACTTTGTCACATAGGATTGCTGTGAGTCAAAACATATATACACACCAGTGCTCCTGTGTGTGTGTATATATGTGTATGTGTGTGTTTGCTGTTGTTAAGTGCCGTGGAGTTGATTCCAACACATAGCGATTTACAGAATAGGCTTTCCTAGAATTGGCTAGCAGATTTGAACTACCGACCTTGTTGTTAGCAGTCCAGTGCTTATCCTAGAGTGCTACACCACACCACACACACACATATGGAGTCCTGGTGTGGTGCTGCAGGTTAATGCACTGGACTGCAAAGTAGGTTTGAACCACAAGGCCTCGGAAATCCTCTACAGGGTCACTATGAGCCAGAACCGACTCAAGAGCACTTAACAGCAAAAACAACAATGTATACATATGGCACTACAGAATAAGTACTAGACTGCTAATCTTTCAAGGTCAGCAGTTCAAACTGACCAGCTGCTCCTCGTAAACCCTCTATAGGGTTGCCATGAGTTGGATCGGAGAAACTAACTTGATGGCATTTAACAGTGTAAATGTTGTTAAATTCCGTCTGACTCATAACAACTCTGTATAGGGTTTCCAAAAGTGGTTGGTGGGTTTGAAGTGCTAACCCTTGTTGTTACCAGTCCAGTGCTTACCCTACAGCACAACACCAGAGCTCACTCTCTCTCTCTCTCTCTATATATATATACACATATATATACAGATATATACATGTATGCAGCTATATAATCTATATATCCATATGGAATATACATATGGATATATAGATTATATATACACATATGTATATATCTAAATTATTATATATATACATTTATATATCTAAATTACAAAAATATTGAAGGAAAAACATGTAAGAAAAAAATCAGGATGTGAGACTGTAAAGACAAAAGGAAAGAATCATGAATTGTACTTAAAATATGTTATTGGTGGGTGCCAGCTAATCTTGTTTTGACTCACAGCAATCCTATGTGACAAAGTAGAACTACCCAACAGTTTTCTTGGCTGCAATTTTTATGGGAGCAGATCGCCAGGGAGAAGACACAAACAGCATTTCCAAACAAAGTTTACTTACATGTCAATTTATTTGCTTACCCTATTTTTAGTTTAAGCTACCAGGGAGCTTCAAAAAGTTTGTGGAAAAACATTCATTGTCTTTAAATTCCATTTCCCACTACTTTTTTAAAGCCCCTCATATTAAAACTTAGCTTTTTCAGATTATGTTTTTTTCCATGCCCCCCAACCAAAGAAACTTGTATGACATTTTTTAAAAAGCAGATGCCTTAGCCAGTTTTCATCCTGTTTGAAAGGCAAATTTATCCATCAGTCAGAATATAGCATTTCTGAATCTTGTCATGACAAATACAGCATTAGTATTTAACAATACATTCTACTGCTTCATAACAAAATTGTTATCATTTCTAAATTAGGGTTAATACTAAGTAAATAGGAATTTTGATATTCTAAGAACATCTCTGCTGATTCTATGTATAGCTCTATAATAAAATTCATGTTATCTTGGAAGAGATACAACTTGGAGAAACTGTTCCATGTATTTACCTGGGCTAATGTGGCAATCTGTGGCTGGGCTTGAACTGTCATTTGTTGGTTTTCAGTTTCTGTCACAGCTGCATCTCCACTCTGCTGGTTCTCTGCTCCAGATTCCATGGTCATTTAGTTACCTACAATCATATGATGAGTGTTACAAGCACTACAGCACTTTGTATTTTTGTAACTTTAAAGGCAAATATCAAGTTATAACACACAGGTATTCAAATGCACTCAGAAATCTAGTTAAAATAAAATGTAGCTGAATAATTGCCAAACTAGTCCAAGTGTGTTGAGCTGTAAAAGTTCTAGTCTTTTAAAAAAATAAACTAACAAATGCAATTTTCTTTTCCCTTATTGTTATTCCCTAAAGGGATTTAATTCTATCTAATGATAAAAAGGAGTCCTGGTGTGTCCTGTAGGATAAGCACTGGACTGCTAACCACAAGATCTGTGGTTCACACCCACCAGCAACCACTCCTTGGAAGTCCTATACAGGGTCGCTGAATCGAAACTGACTCAACAAGCACACAATAAGAAAGGCAAGAAGAATTCCTCTCATTAATAGATCCTATTAACATGGGAGAGGGGAGAACAGCAAAATTAGAATATTTCCAAATTGTTCCAATCAGGGGTGAAGAGTGGATGGAAGAGTGTAAGTGAGTTGATGACAGGATCTATGAGATGCTGATTTCATTATACCTCCAGTAAGGGTATTCCTACTAGTAAGAAATTGAGAAACCAGCAACTCTTCATGTGCGGGTGGCCTTGGGGAAATTACTGTTAGAAGGAAATGAATCTAAGTTCCTAGAATTCTAGACGTGTGACATCAAGGTAGAAAGATGAGCGGCCATAGAGCCAAATGATAGGCTCCACACACTAAGTCAATGCTCCAACTTCTTACCTCACATGTAATGTGAACATCTCACACACATGGGGGGGGGGGGGCAGGGAGGGTAAAATACTTTCATTTTAGATTTTTAATTGCAAAACTCTGGTTAATTAAGGCTGATCTTTTAACTCTTTGAAGTCTGCTTTACTAATGCTTAGTGTATTTGCTGACTAATCTGCACTGGGTAACAGCAAAACTAATTGGAGAGTCATTCCGAGCAGTAGGAACTATATGGAGGTCAGAGAATTTCTTATAACCAAAGAAATCCTGTCTGAAAAATTCAGGAGAAGAGGAACTGGATCTTCCTAGTGCATCACTGTTGTCATGTAATGCCTGCATATTGCCTGTCCAATGTTAAATACATTGGTTAACAGTGAGGGCATACCCACAGTGATTTCACAAATAAAGCAAAAATCCCAATACTTTTCCAGGATTTATTTATTGTATAACTCAGAAATCAATAGACAATAGAAACTGTCACTGATCTTACACGATTACTACACACCATCACAAGATTATCACACATTTATATAGCTTGCCTTCAGTCACAAGGTTCTGCAAACAGAAAGTGTTTACAAATGACAGTTAAAAACGGAAGTGAAAATATCTCTTGGGAATCGAATATAAACAATTCAGAAATACCAGAAACTATAAAAAACAGATGACAAAGGAAAAGATCAATAAGACTACATTATTATCTTAAACATTAATATGATAAAGATACCAAGACAAGGATACAGGGAGAAAATATTTGTGATGTACAATCAACACATCAACCAGAATACAGAGCAACTATATTAGTTAATAAGAAACTCTTATTACTGACTGGTTTTACAAAGATGATCAAAGATGTTCACTCTGGAATATTACATAATACCAAAAAATTTAAAAGAAGCGCACCATTGGGAGGACCATTAAAGAAATTACGCATAAAAAGAATGAAGTCAATCTACAATGAAATGGCATAGAAACCTTTCCAAGACAGAGTGGTAAAAGGGCAAGTCACAGAATACATTTTAAAATAGAACTCTACTTATGCTAAAAACAAGCAAAACAAATTGCTATAAGATTATATGTGGTGGTGGTGGTTACATGTCGTGGAGTCGGTTCCAACTCACAGTAACCCTGCATAGGGCTTCCAAAGCTGTAAATCTTAACAGTAGCAGAAAGTCTCATCTTTCTGGGAACTGCTGGTAAGTTTCGAACTGCTGACCTTAATTAAGGTTAGCAACCTGACTTGTAAACACTATGTTACCAGAGCTATAGATAGAAAAAGGTGTGAAAGGTTATACACAAAACTATAGCTTTGGGACTTCCGGAAAAAGATGGCGGATTGGGTGGAAGTGTAGTAACGAGCTCTGCCGAAAACCACACAGAATATAGGACTTAGAAGGCTCAGGGAATGGTCCTAGTACTCTGAACCACATATACCGGAATATTTAGAAGGTTGGAAGACTTACAGCTGGGGAGTTTGTGGCAGACGCAAGAAATCCATTGCTTCCTGGTTTGGGATGCTCAACTGCTCCAGGAGCCGCCATTTTGTGTGGGGCCAAGCGGGGAAAGGATCAGAACAGCCAGATGCCTCACAGACCCGCAGAGATAGAGGTGTGGACATTCTTTTTTTCTACTTTTTGTTTTTTTGGTGTTTTCGTTGGTCCCTTGCTGTCTGCGTACCTCCATTCTGGTAACTATAGGGGTACCTGAGCTAGTAGATACTCCAGCCCTACCCTCGAAGGGATCTACTACACATGTGCATTGATCTCCTCAAAATTTAAAGAGACAGTATCCACTTAAAACCAAATGGCCGACAGATACTCAGCCCAATAGCAGGCCTTGAACTTTTCTTGTTTACTTTTTGTTCTGTTTTTTAACACAGGAAAGAAAAGGAGAGGGCTGTAGTGAGGGAAAGAGACCTATTAGGCTACATATATCTTTTTTTTTTTTTTTTAATTTTTAAAAAATAAATGTTTTTCC